GCCTTCTTAATTTGCCTCCACTGTCCATTTTGATAGTACCTCTTAAATCCTCGGCTGTCTTCAACTCAGTGTATCATTTCTTTGATATAACTATGCATGTAACTTTTCCATCCCCTCTGTTGCTCCGTGTTTGTTGATGCCAGCTCCTAAATTATATGATACCTCTTTGGGTATACATGATTAAAGCATTCCATTTTTAGAGGAGCATGCTTTTTTCTAATGCATTTGGCTGACATGAGTTTTATTTTGTTGACTGTTTTTTAGATTCAAGCTAGCGAATCTGACAAAGTTTACAAAGAAGGCCTCTTATACAGGAAAGTCACCATGAGCTCTGAAGGAAAGAAAGGTAGGTTGAATATACCAGTTGTACACAATGTTTATATCATATATATCAGTTGCAATTTCAGCAAGTTTCAGCACTTGTGCTCATGGTGGGCCAGGCAATGATGTGGTATGTGACTACTGTATGTCATGCAAATACAAATCACTTTGTAGAAATTTAATTTGAATCTCACTGAATTCAGTTGAGTAACTTGTCAAGGGTGTCATCATCAGTCAAATAAATCATATGCATGTAATATTGTACAAGGTATCTTCTTCCCCAGCAGGGTGTCTGAAATTTTACATCTGGTAACCATTTTAAGGTTTTTTTGGTTGCCTGATGGCAAGTTTGAAAAAGGTTGTGCTTGGAGCTTTGTATTTGTGATATTAAATGATTTAAACAGAAGTCTTAACATCTCTTTCAGCTTCTGCTTGGAAAAGAAAATGGATGCCTTTTTTTGCAACACTCAAAGGAATGATCCTCTTCCTTCACAAGGAAAGTCAGGTCAATTTCAATTCAATCCAATATTAAACAATTGATAAAATCACACTTGTCTAGACAATAAATTAAGTGGAGGATATTACATGGCCACGCGGGATATGAATTTTACCTTTTAGTGCTGTAAGTATCTTTCACGAGTGAGCAAAGGGAACTAGTGAGAGTTACTTTCAGCACAAGAAGATAAAAATTAATTCGTATCCCCAAGTGGCTTTGTAATGTTCTGTTTGTTCTATAGATACTGCTGAAATTTCCACATAAAACAACTTTTTTTTTATTCATTTTCGAAACGGCAAAATTAGTGCAATTATAGTGGTCACCTATTGCAAAATGCATGTCACAAAAATGATGTTATGAAACTTGGATATAAAGTTATAAAGGAGAATTAAAGACAGTAATACTTATATTTTCTGTTCAAAAAAAGTCAAAATTCTATTGAAGAGGAAAATTGTGTTATTAACCATGGTGACACCAACATCCTCACACAAAATAGTATCTTCAATGTGTGCAATGAAGATATGATTTTTTAGTAAAAGGAAAAATTGGTATGTCCTCAGTATCTTTTTATTTATTATTAATAATAAATGAACTTTTCACCTATGTAGATGTAATGAGATCTTTCCCCTACATTCTAAGACTCATTTCCTTTGAAATGATTTTTAATGAGGTGTTTTCTATTGTTAACATCCTTTCCTTCAAACAGTTAAAACTTGTACATTCTCCTAATACCTTTTTGCTAGGCAATGAAATTGTGTAGAGAAATTATATGTTGACTAATCCTTGGTGTACAACTATGGTAGAGCATCCCTTTCCATACAGAGCTCCAGATCTGTTATTTACAGTAAATCCTTCTGTTTATTTTCAGTCAGATGAGGTAACTGCACCAGAGCATACTAGAAACTGTTTAGGTGTACACCACTCTTTGGCCAGTCGAGCTACAGATTATATCAAAAGGCCTTTTGTGTTTAGATTCGTCACCTCTGATTGGAGAGAATTCCTCTTTCAAGCAAAGTATGTTGTATTTGTCTTTTCATGACTACTCTTTTAGTACTTTGTTACATTCACATACACTACCATTAGTGAACTCAGATACAGGACACTCCCTTTGATAAAAGAAAGTTATACCTTTCATGGTTTTATACACTCCAGTTCATCTTAACAGTGGAAATCCTGTGAGTTAGAAATTTTACATCTCCATGAAGAAGTTAAAACCCTAAAGATATCCATGAAGCAAGCTGCAGTAAACTTTGATATGTCACTTGAATCTCCCGAAACATTCAGTTTTTAGGTGTCTAAAATTGTATTTCTGGTGACCATGTGATGATTTTAAATGGCCATGCACTGGTGGTGAATTTGGAAAGAATGAATAAGCTCTGATAACTCCTTTCTTCTCATAAGCCATCTTGTATAATGTCTTTTCTTTTCTTTTTTTTTTATAGGAATTTTCGTGATATGAATGAATGGATTGAGGCCATTAATCTTGTGGCTGCCACCTTCTCTGCTCCACCCTTACCAGCACCTGTTGGTTCATGGTAACACAACTTCATGAATTGCTCAAAAACTTGTCTACAATTTTTTTCACACGTTTATTTTTTTCACCACTTACTATTGTACTTACTACTCTAGAATGGGGGGAAAGGTACATACCCTTTTTTTTCTTAAAGAAATACAAGAAAATGTAGAACTGTTTATATTTATATTGAAGAGAACCAGATTATGGGTGTAAAGTGCATATCTTCATTGGAATGTGAAATACAGTTACACATGTGATGTAAATAGAGAAACATTAGACTTTGGTTTTCGACAATTTATCACCATTCAGACTGATGAATTCTCTGAAATTTTTTTTCCAGCAAAAGATTTCAGCGTCCTGCTCTTCCTTTCTCCTGCACTCAGCTCCCTCTTGTAAGTCACCTTTACCTCCCTTTTATAAAATGAGAATTAAAAGTAATAAGTAAATAATTTGCATTTTTAAGACAGATTAAGTCAGACTAGATAGATAGACGTTTATTAGATAGACGTTTGTTAAGAAGAATACCTTAATAGCAGCTGGAAGCTGAATTGCAAAGGTGTACAAATTATGTAATAGAACTATACAATAAAATCAAACCTAAAAGGGAACTAATTTACATATACAATTGTAATAAATGTTATTAAAATGTCTTGCGCTTTGCTGGAATGAAAGTATCTCTGAACCGATTTGTTTTAAAGGAAACTCTAAATGGTCTGCGTGGTCATAACTCGATAAGTTGATCTCGGTTATCGAAAGGCAGTAAGTGGTACAAACAATCCAAGGGATTGGAGACGATGTTGTTAAAGAATTTTAAGCAAAGGTCTTCTCTCCGATCCTTTAGGGTTTTCAGCTCTGCCATCTGAAGCACTTCTCTATAATGATTATCATAACCATATATAATTTTCAAGGCTCTCTTTTGGACATGCTCTAAACTTAAGCTCAAAGAATTGGGGAGACTATAATGGTAGACCTGACATCCATAAAGTAAGACAGATTAAATACAAGCAACATAAAAATTTACTAATTCTGGTGATGGTACCTTAACTCGCTGTAACTGAGTTAAAAAGTAAAGGCGCTTAGCGGCCTTTTTAATCGTCAGTTAAACGCGAGTGTTCCACAAGTTTTAACTAAAATGTTTTCTTGTTGAAATCAACAGATGAAGCAGTTGGAACACCATGAGACAAAGGTAACTGTGATGTTAACTAATCATATTATGCAAGGAAGTGTATTATTGCTATGACTTGTTCCTTTGGAATTAATACAATAATTATGCTGACCAGCTAATGTACACTTGAGATTGAAATGTGTTTCAATTTGGTTATAACATGGCTGGAAAAATATTTAGTGTAGATGGACGAGAAGTGCTGGACAATGAATTATGGTTGTATTTTTATAAGTGTTTAGCAAGAGATCTCATGTGGGTTTTGTGCAGTTAGCATTACCATTTGATTATTAATTCTCTGCATGTCTTACTAAATGTGACACTTGATTCCAGAGCAAAGAGGCAGAAGGACAGTTGATTGAAAGTTTACAAAGCAAGCCACAGAGTGGTACAGGCAGAGAGTTTGAGGTAAAAACCTTTAAAACAGATTATACTCTGAATTAATTTTTTCACAGCAAAAGATCCTCTATTTAGCACCCAGGACCCTTATTTCTGATGTTGGCTAAACAGTAAGCCCTTTTTTAGGGTGGTACTTATAACAGGCCTTCTGACAGGGTGCACGGGTGTGGAACCGCACAATTCGGTCAATCCCGCACAATCCGTGAAAATTCACAAAATCCCGCACAATACAGATATTTTTACTCGAAATTTCAATCAAAACGGGTATTTCTGTCAAGTATCAAGATTTCTAGAATATTTTAGACTATTTTCAGACTATTTACCTTCAAAAACACTCTAGAATTTCCATGCTTTCATCAAACAACTCGTCAATTGCGTTATTCAAACAACAAAGCGTTCTTAGTGCCTGTGCTTTCCTGGGCACTAGTCTACTTCTAACTCTATTTTTCATTGGCGGTTTGTGCCTATGCTTTTCAAATAATGAATCAGAGGTGTTGTTGAATAAGGCCGCTAGTGTTGTGGCTTTCTCATTCAAAGTGAAAAAAGGAATGTTTATTTTTGGCATTTACAGGACGAGTGGGTTGTCAGATATTAAGACTTTCGTAAATCGTAGTGGAATAAGAAAACACAGCTTCCATTGACAGTAACTTTTACTGGCGAACTCAAATTATAGGGCGATCTCCTCGAGTGTTTTCGTTGAGCTCTTTCGATTTCTTTGACGAACAGAGAATTGCTTCAAAATAGGTTCTAAAGTTAAGTCAATAAGATAAAAATCATTCAAAGTAAAATCTAGAAGTCATTTAGCCATTACAGGAGGAATTTCGCATTGATATTACAAGAAGAGGTATGATTTATGAGGAGAACCCAATGTTTACTTTAACAGGGAGTGGGATACGAAATATTTTGTTTGACGCAAGATTATGCAATCCCGCACAATTACCCGCACAATTAACTTTTTCTCCTGCACAATTCACCTCCTAAAAAGAGCACAATTTTAATTTTTTTCCTGCACCCTATCAGAGGGCCAGTTATAATCAGGGAGGGAAAGGAGGTGCAGGGCTTGTATTCTTAATCTCTTTCCAAATCATGGCTATGTGTGATTCTTATTTTCTGTATAATGCCAGAGTGTAGCAAACTTCATTGTTTTTCCTTGCAGGAGTGGCAAGAAAAACATGAATTCTTGGATTATGAGGTAAGTGGTACACTTTCTTGAGAAATGCGTTTGTTTTGTAACAACCACAGACTCACTTCAAAGAATTTTAATTTATTTCTTTCCCTAGTACAAAAGATACAAGATGTATGTGAACATTCTGCGGGGATCAAAGCTGGAGAGTAAATTACGAGAAAAGCCTCGTGGCTCTGGCAGGTCGGTTGAATCTATCATGTTGCAGATGAAGCGCTGTAGTTCCCTGGGGGATTTAGATTTGTCCAGTGGTTACAAGGGGAGAAATGTACGAGAAAGTTATTTTATGGCAATTTATAAGAGTTGAGATTCAAACCTTTTCACGGTCAAAAAGTTCTTGATTCAATTAGCTTTGCAATGCAAGTTGAGGAGGTAGTGGTAACTATAACTATGATAATACAAATTATCCAGTTTCCACAAAAGTATGACTTTTTGTGGTTGGTTATCCTAATAATTGATTGGTCACTGTGGGAAAATTCTTGCAATTAGTTATTGTCTGTTTGATTTTCCTGTGAATCTAAGTTAGAAAACAGGAGATTAACTGACTGGCTGTACAATAACTTTGAAGGAGAAAAACTTTTTAAAATTTTATAGAAAACTGATTTTCGCTGAGAAGAACCTTTCTGTCATAATTTCTTGACAAGATTTTGTCAAAATGGAATTGACAGTTTTCATGTTTCTCCCTTGAAAACATTTTTATAATTTCATCTTTATTCTGTGTACGTAGGATTTACTGGTTTTTCTGAGTACCAGTCATTTACATTAAAAGTTAACTGGGCATTTAGACCATATTTAGCACAATTGCTTAAGGCTCTGTGGTAACAATATGATAAAACTAAATTGTTTCATTCAAATTAGATTTGAAGCTAAAAAACACATTAATGCACAGAGTTCTAAAACATTGAATGTCACATTGTTATAGAGTGGGTTTGTTATATAATTATGGTTTGCCATGTCATGAAATTAGCCATTTAGCTAAATTTGCTATTCTTTAATTAATGCCATGTCATTTAAGTTTATTATTGTAAGAACTGCAGCAGTTTCAAAAGTACATGAATTGCTCCCTTTGGAGAATTGGTTCCAGTTAGAGGAAAATTTATATCTTGTCATCTGTATTAGTAAAGTTCCTAAATTAATATCAGATTGGATTTCAAAAGATGTTATTACCGGTATATGTAAATGATCAAGAAATATTGATTGAAGTAGTATAAATTAGAAACAATCAGAAAAGTTAATGTTGCAAAAAATTATTACTATAGATGTGGCACATGCATATAAGACAGAAATATTTGCACTCGTGTTCAAACATTATACTGCTAACAGTCCTGTTGTAAACGTTTTGTTAACATGCATACATGTAATGGTAAATGTTGCAAATTGTAATTTAAAAAAATTGTCTGTGATGGGTCTGAAATAAAATCCAAAGAGAGAAAAAGGCATATTTACAACTTGTTTTTAATGTTAACAGCAAAGGCTAACAAGCAACTAACCAATCGCACCAATATTTTTTCTAATTAACACTTTTTCTAGGAGAGAAAGAAATAATTTATTATCTTTGTTTGCTCATTTCATTGCATAAAGCACAAACCTGAAACTGCCTCTCATTAGTGCTGCATACATGTACATGCATAAATTGCTAACTGCTAATTAAATTAACTTTGTAACACAGTTAACCCCCTAAGGTCTAATAACTTACAAATACATAAAATTATAGCAAGCTGAAATTTTAGAAAAACCTACATTTCTTTAATGTTACTGTGTAATGTTTGGAGGCCAAGGAAAGTTATATCCTTTTGGAATGTTTTACAAAAAAGTGTGTTGTTAGATGTTCCTTTACAAAAGAAGGGAATCAGAATGTTTTTGCCATAACATTCTTCAAATTGCTCTCCACCACTTAATTGTAACAGAAATAAAGTCATGGCATCATCTTGTTACTGGTAAAGACATTTGTCTGCATGTGTATTTCTTCCCCTTAAGTAAAGTATTGTAGAATGAATAACATTTCCTGGGAAGCAAACCCCAAGGGTTCACATTTTGAATAGCGATTCCTGCAGAACTTTGTGAAAAAAGCTCTAGAACTATGTGGAATGGGTTATAGACCTAATGATACTTTTAAAACAGGACAACAACCCAAAAAGAGTATTGTTCCCCGGTGTCACTGGCTCATCTGCAGCTGTATCTTAATATAGTTCTAATAACACACCTTCAGTGTAAATTAACTATTAAGTACAGTAAGTAACTGCAATCAGCAAGGCCCTAGAGTTAATTTATTTTAAGCGATGTGTGGATGATTTTAAGGTTGTTTAGAATAATTCTTATTATGTGCATGCTTACTAATTCTATAACCTCTGTCTTTCCTGGCTCACTTCTGTACTCCTCTTAATCCTAGCTCTGTCAACATGTCTGGTAACAATAGCATTGAAGATGATGATTTGCAATTCCTGGACAAGGAAATTTAATTTTACTTGCTGCCCTAAAATAGCTTTAACAGACACAACAGACGTTGACAAACTCTCCATTGTAATTCATAAATTGAAAATCCTTAAGAAGGAGAATAAACTATTGGATCTTTTTTTTCAATTAGGGAGAGAAAGTAGTCTTTGACGATGACAGGCATGCAATTAGTTATCTCCTGTTAGCCAATTAATAGTAATCCCAAATAAATTTAGGTGAGTGCATGGGGACTTGTTTTTGGTTGTCAGAGTCATTTTTTATTCACTACAAGTCCAGTCTCGTTTTATCTATGTGGCACCAAAGTGGCGAAAGTGGGAAAGAAGTTTCTTGTTTTGCTTAATAGCAACTTTTTGTCAGATTACTTTTAATTTGTCCGGCCTGGTAAACCTTTAATTTTTCAAAGTTAGGATTAACCTCGTACATGGGGAAATTTTTCAAAATTAAGTTCAGTGGCAGACTGTTGTTTATAGGCATGTCCAGTGGAGATTAAATTTAGAGAGTCAAAAGAAAGGTGCAATCCTCTTGAAGACATCTTAAATGGTAGCAGATATCTTAATTTGAATAATTATGTTGTAAACCACTCCTTTACCCTACAGAACAGGCAACTATCTTTTTTGCGCCTTACCTGGTGAGCACAGGCGAGTGCAAGGCAAGCAAGAAAAGAGAGCCAATGGGAGAGGAGCTTGAAGAAAACTTACAGGGCTTCCTTCTTTTCTTACTTCCTCTCTGGCATGCGACTCACTCTCATAATTCTTGCTTGCCTTGTGCTTGTGTCCATGGACTGACAAAGGTAACAAATCACATATTCTACAGGCTACGGTGCCTCAGAATTTATTTATTTTTCCACTATAATTTAGTAATTATATGAATTGATACCAAGTGTGCATGTGTCAAATTTATTTACTAAAACCTCTTAGATTTTTTCCTAACTCTGTGAGCTCTGAATAAATGTAGGTCAAGGACCTTGACAATTTTTGCAGACAATTTCTCTTTTTCACATTACTATTTATTGAAAGTTTTAATAAAAAAATAAGTTCATTGTAGACTTTGAAACAAGTTTAGTAGTTTAAACAGTGGATTTATTAGTTGAAGCATTGAAGTGCAAATAACAATTTGAAAACTATTAAAAGTATTGATAAAATCAGTTTCTTTGTTAGAGCGTGTGCATTCATTCTGAAAGAGGGTAGAAATTTTCCAACTTGGTGGTGAACACAGTGCTTAAATCCTTGGCCTTGGGAGAAAATGATTATATTGCCTATAGCTTACTGGACAGATCGGAAAGAATTTGGAAACTCTGGAAGCACATGTATATATGAACCTTAGTCTCTCTCGCAGCTGTTGTTCTGTCTCTTCAGACAACACACTTCTCCTGTGTGTAGCTCCGAACCCAACCTGCACTGGTATTAGTCTGAGAAGTTTTGTTTAGGTAAACTGTTCAGTTGACTGGGTAGTCTAATCATCTAAGCAGGTGTAACGGCTGCCTTGCCTTTGCCACTGAACACTGAGTCACTATAAGCTTGTTTTGTGTAAATGTGTTAAACCGCAATAATGACGCTACTGTTAGTCCATTAGGAACGTGCTCTTTAAGTTCCACCCAGCACCGCATTTTAATTAGTTGTCTTGCTGTGGGCTAACGATAAGACATGTTTATCTGAAGAGCACCTTTTGCCCACCTTATCTTGAAGTTCGTTTTGGTTCAATTCTCACAAGCATGACTGTTATGTAAGTGCTAATGTTCCTTTCTTTGTGCTTGTCTTAATGTATTGTTCTTTTGCGAGTTTGTTTTGAGTTTTAGCTGGCTTTGCATCTTGCCTTCATATCGGAATGTTGGTTTGTCTATTCGAATTTAGCTTAGCTTGTAATTAATTTCATATTTCAGTTTACGACAAGTACTTGGATGTCTCGACTACGTTAAATAAAACAATTCAAGGCTTGTCCGTAAAATATATCCTTGCTTCATAGTGTGTCTTCATTTGGGAAACTCATAGTTGTCATCAAAATTTTGCTTTGCTTGTGTCGGCTGCTACAGCAGGAGTACGTAGTTCTGGGGAGTGTTGTTGGAAGTAATGACTGGTGTGTGGATCATCATCAGTCAGAGTAAATTTGTTTCCGCTAAACATGAACAGATCCTCATGAGTAAACAGCAATGGAAGAATATACAAGAAATTAAGAGCAGAAAGCACAGGTTTAGGCTGGCTTGAGCCTGAATTTCTTGCAAGCCTCATTTTCTGCAATTTCTTCAATGCTGTTCACATGTAAGGATTACTGTGTTAATTTAAATTCACTCACTCAATAACATATAAACTTAAATTTATTCCACTTTATTGGGAAGTAATTTTTTGCCCAGAATTTTAAACTCATATAGGGTTTCTTGTTTTGATTCTGAGCTGCCTCTTAGAAGCACTGCCTACAAAATTTATTATCAACTTTGAACAACCTCACACAGAACTCTTTCTGCAGTTTGCACATTATTTATTTCATAAATTGATAACCTAAAATTTCCCTCCAAATAGGGGTCACTTAAATTTTGCATGCTTTCTCTCAACTTACTTTGCATGCCACTTTATTGCAGCCCTCCACTTTTGCAACCTTCACAGCACCTACCCTCCATTTATTTCATTAAATCAATTTTTTTAGCCTATGTGATAAGTCTCAAATGGAAGTATCACATCTGATAATGATGTTATTTAGTAGATACTAATACAGTAAATAACATAGAATGCATGCTCTGATTGGCTACTCAAACCCTGGATATCCTTTGCTATTCACCTTGGAGCAACACATGAGGGATTTTCACCCCAAAATATTTTAATCATTGCAGGAATAAATGAGTTTTGGTGTACACAAGACAAATATTGACCTCAGTGTCAGTGGCAAGGGATGGAAATTACCTTACTGCTTTATCCACCACTAGCCACCCTCACTTTGGTGAAAATTTGTTAACCAGTATCTTGTTTTAAATCATAATTTTCATTTCTAACTTGTTAGCGTCATGCTTTGTCCCATTTTGATATTTTATTGAGCGATTAAAATTGTTCAATCGTGGTAATCAAAATTTAAGCCAACATTTTGCTATTATTTAAATCTTAAGTCAACAACATCAACTCTTGAAACCTTGTCCCATAATACATGTGAACTCTCCTAAAAGAAAAACAGTTTGTATTAATGACTGAAACATTGGGGTTGAGGTGGGAAAAAAAATCAACACATTTCCCTAACTACATATAGGAGCTGGGTGGGAATCAAATATTACTATCTGCATAAGGGTGTGTGGAAATAGTCATGCCCATACTAACCATGCAATTAAATATCTTGAGGGAATGATGGCCCCTCAGTGCCAAAGCTTTACCAGTTTCCACTGACACAAAGACAGGAGTTTGCCACTCCCAGATTGCATATCAGTCTATTGTAAGTCATTCCTCAGAAATTCATCAAGTTTCCAAGAATGTCTACCAATAGTTAGTTATCCTCCGAGTTTGAAAAAGACACTGTAAGAGTAAAGTGCCCTGCCCAAAAATACAGTGAAAAAAACAGGCAACGGTTTGAAGCTGGATTGTTTGATTCAGAGACCAGCACCCTAACATTCATATCTTGTATCCTAGAATAGGTTGTGGTTAGTCATCATCATGGTAATTAACACTTGAAAAGAGAAAATTTGTAATCATTTGTATCATGATGTGGTCACTTGGAACGTGTAAATTGCTTGGTTTTGACTGCATACTTCTAGACTTCTTTAAGCAATGAGGACAATTGAGTATGTGTCACCTACATGCTGTTGAACTCAGCTCAGATTGGATTAATGTCTTACATCTGTATATACAGTCCATTAAAATCCTACAGCATCTTTAGTACCTTGGGGTGGTGTTGGTGAAAGTTGAACTGATGGCAGAGTAATTTGAGGGTGGCATAACTCAAATACAAGCTAGGTTTCACATTGTACTCAGGAATATTCCTTACCTCATAGAGTGGAGGCTCTTTGGGATGTGGGTGAAATCCTTGCATTTTACAATTCAAAATAAATTGCAGACCATACTCTGGGGTGAGAGAAAACACACCAGTCCTGGAAAATGTGTAGCACATGCATTAGTTGATAATAATTGAACAGGGCTGTTTAACACTGTAAAGGAAAAGTGTGCATTACAAATTGAATCGGCCAATTATCTATCAAATGAGACTTTTTTAATGAAGTACAAGATGCTTTATGACAGAAAAGTGCAACTGCAAGCTTCACAATTTTATGGACATACAGGAGGTGCCATGTGAAGAAGTTGTGGCCTTTATTGTAGTCGTGGCTTTTACTTTGTGGTCTTCATTATTGATGGCAACCTTTCATGGAGAGGCACTAATTTAAACTTCTGTCTAAATGAAGGGACACTTCAGGAAGGAGGGCACTCGATCGAGGGAGGCTCTTATTGAGAAACTATTAGCCTGTGTACTGATTTAACTGTAGTTAAAGCTTAAAAAGTTATCGATAAAGTGGCAATAGAAACAGGTTTCCCTTGTGACTCTACTATTTAACAAGTTGAGGGAGGAGGGGGGTGCTTACTTGAATGGCACTAATTAGAGCATACGCTTTTATTCCAGGAAATAATTAATTTTTTATGGTACATAATTCTCTACTTACTCATCAAATTTTGGAGCACATACAATAGCAATTGCTTCTGGCATCATAAGCTGATAACTGCAGTGAGTGTGAAGATCAACACTGGACATGAAACTTGTCTGTGATGGGTGTGTCTGGTTCATAAATTAGATTTAAAAAGCATTACTCAACAATACTCTAAAGTCAAGTGCTCCAACTGAATTGACCTGTCACCCACTGGTTCTTGCAGTACATAAAGGGAGGCAAGGAGAAAGGCACTGGGAGGATAGGGAAGGGGGCAATACAGGAGGGAAAAGTTTATTTAAGGGGGTTGGAAGGAAAAAAAAGGAAAATTTCTTAATCTTTAATCTGCAGGGTTTTGTTAAAACCAGGGGTGGTGGGGTCAAAAGTAAAGGACATGGGTGAATACAGAACAAATAACTGGATATTCTAAACCATTTACACCCTAATATCAGTATGCATATTCTCCATACTGTTCTCTAGACATTTCCTAAGGTGCTGACAATGAGAATTTGTTTAACAATCAAGAGCTTCTTTAGTTGGTGTTCTTCTGACCTTGATGTGTGATTCAGGGGTGATATTGTACGGAGAAATTAGATGCAAGTCACTGTTAGTGGTTAAAGGGTTAATTAACTATACCATGTCCTTCCCACTTATCCTGTAGAACCTGCTATTTCAGGTAAGTTTTAATGAAGTTGAACAGCAGGACAATTTTAAAATATTAACTAGAGGGGATATCTGTTTTCCAAGGTTGAAAATCAATTCAAAATTTAGCAGCCAGGCCTTCTTTATGGGCAAGATTTTCACAAACCTGAAAAGGGTCCATAGTGTTTTGTAAAGTATTTCTTGCATTGTTGAATTAATTTTTTAAAGTACAGAATTCATTCTATTTTCCTTTTACTTTACATTGGGTCACATTTTCACAGACCCGAAAGAGATCTGCACCTCTTGATTTCTTGTATTATTGACCTAGTAGATGGCAACTTACATGTATCCAACCCAATGTGATCAGATTGTGAGAATCTTGATAATCAAACAGATCCTCCTCATTCAGAGTAGTGCAGGAGTCTGATGTCGAGGTTTGCTTGGGGATCAACAAATGAGTAATGCAGAACATGTTGTTTTGCTGTACAAATAAAACAAGACAAGAAACAAGTTTACATTTAATCGAATAGACAAAATAAAAACTTCAAAATAGAAACTAATGAGAAAGCTTTCATTTGGTAAGGCCTGGGTGAAGGGTTTTACCAACAACTGGTTCAACTTAACCCTCACACTACCTAGATCTCTTTAGTAATTTAACTCTTTCACTCCAAGATCTCATTAGTAATTCTCCTTTCTGTCTGCCATACAATTATTATGATGCTAGTTTGGAGAATTTGGTATTGGATCAACTAATTACTGCCTGAGTGATATTTCTCTTTAATCTCATTATTCATTGACTTGATATTGTATTGATACTGAAAGAAGAAATTCTGTCTCGGTTGCTCACCAAAGTTCAAGGTTAAGGTGTTTTCAATGAAAATTTTTTAAACTTGAGATAATGGAGTTTAACCTTTCAAGGCGATGAGTAATAGCAGACCCTGTGAATACTTAAAGCATCCACAATCTTAAAGTGTTTTGAGATTTTGAGGAAACATCAGATATTCTCCTTTGCTATTAATTTCTAAAGAAGTCTGAGTCAAGTATGGAAATGATGCATCTCAGGGTTGAACCACACCCAATAAATTTGATTCTGACTTCCTATTTTTTCGTGTGGGGTATTTTCAGATTCTGAATGTTATTGACACACATAACCTGCTTGCAGGCTCTCATAGGTCCCATGGTAAGGAGATTAAAAGAGATGACTGGTTAAGGGTCTTAGCAGGTACTGGGCTCATTTGTGTCGCCCCACCTACAAGAATCTGATTGCAGATAATGAAAGGTCACCATAATTATTGACTAGCAGAAGTAGCTGTTTATGAGAAGTATAGAAAAGTATTTCATGGCTTGAGAGATTGTGAAAATCCTTCAAGGTTCCAGAAAATTACAGGCTGGAAGGTTTTTTTTAAAAGAAGTTATACTCACAAGTCGACCTGCCAGAATGCCACAGGTTTCCAGGTTCTTCCTTGTGTTGTCAGATGCCAGTCGTAGAAACTGACTGATTAGCTCTGCTGGAACATGCATTTTTCTGAGGCCACCTGACGACGCATCTTAACACAAATGGAAAGGGAAAATCAACAAGTTTCAAAATTGTCAAGTGTTGACCTTTGAGTGATTTTTACAAGTTTATCATCTTGAATTATTGCAGTTACTATAATTATTATCATCAACAAAATTATGATTTTATTGACCAAAATAATGCAGTCAGACAGTTTAACTAACCTGCAGACATGACTGGTTTAGTAGACCTGTCAATTGTTGGGACACTGCAGATGGAATATTCAATGCAAAATTAGATAAACACAACAATTATTGCTTGCATAATTGTTTAGTTGGGAAGGGGATGTGAAATTTGTGAAAACAAATTACCACCAATTCTTTCTGGTCATGCTTCAAGAACATTGACATGAATTATGTGGTAACTTATGCCTGAACAAATCAAAAAAACCCTACAATCCTTTGCCATTGCCTCAAAAATATCTACATAATTGTATGGATACTTTAGCTTGAACAGTTAACAAAAAACTACAATCCTTTCCCCATACCTTGGTGTTGGTACAGAGAATAGTGACGAGTAGCTAGGAGGTGGTGGCAATGTCCTATGTGTCTGATTACTGTCACTAGGGGTGCCATGTTCACGCTGATTACTACCCACTGTTGAATCTGGACTGCCAGATGACTCCTGATAGGAGGTGGGTGGGGCAGGGTAGTCCCCAATTAGTGGTGGGGCACTTGGAGTAACACTTAGTGTCTCTGTATGAGGCATGGATGTGTTGTTATGCTGTGGTGCAATTTGCAGGGCTGTGAGTGCTTTTTGTGCTTTTTCTTCAGCTTCCTTTCTCTCAAGCTCTTTCCTTTTGGCTTCTTGCACTTCTCTCTTTAAACAGAAAAAAACCAAATGCATTTGCACTGAATGAAAGAACTATAACATTACTGCTCAATGTAACATGAACAACACTTATCAGTAATGTTTAACGAGTGCTTCCCGTTAATTTCTGTTCGTATATCCTCAAGGGATCCTCCTTTCATTTCACCATTGGTTAAACATCTTTTGAAATTTAGGAACAGGTTGCAAAAGAGATCTAAACCGCTCCCTGTTGGCCTTGAGGACAGAATCAACCATCTTATTAGGGAAAATCAACGACAAGCTGTCAAGCAGGATTCTAGTATGTCCGGTAGGGGTTCTCGTGCTTGGTGGTCCACTGTCAATACCATTACTGGAAGAGACACTCAGCCCCAGTTGATCAGCTCCAGACAAGCTGTTTTAAATCAGTTTTTATTAATAGATGTCTTTTCAATAGTAATTAATACCTTTTCTTTTTCCTTATTCATTTTATTCATGTTATTCATGTTAATTATAGCACGTCTGTTTGCACAATAATTCTTAATAAAGACCTTTATTATTATTATTAATTATGTGCACTTAAAGCCACAATATTTTTTTCTTTATTATGCAATCGTTCCTTCCACAATGTTATTAATTCAACTGATAACTGGTCATTGTGACAATATAGTGTTAGAAACATGCATACATATGAAAGCCCCAAACATATACACAAATAATGCAGGCATGCTTCTAACACTATATCGTCACAGTCATAGTGTTGTATATTTTTCTATTTTCTGGATTGCTGTTAGTGGAACTTAAAACTATATCAAAATAAGTTTAACAAGTCAAACAAAATGACAACAGTGCTAATGATATGAAGAGGATATTATTAGAACTGATATTTTCTCCTCTCACCTTTCTAGCCTCTTCCACCATTAACTGTTCAAACTCCTTCTGATACCTTTCCTTCAAAATTCCTTTTAATTTCTCTGCTTCACCGAATACTCTTCTGAGGCTCTGAATATGGCAATCACACAATCATGTAACTGAACCCTCACGATCATAATTTAATAGAAATATTATTTCTAAATCACAAACAAAGTAGGAAGAACTTTTGAAATTTTATAAATGTTTGGTGTTTATAAATTTTATAAATGTTCAATTGCTACATGACTACTACAATTTATCCAGGATTCAAAATTTTTATTAGTTTTTAGGCATGGTAACCGTGTGGTGTTATGATAAGTTAATTAAAAAAAATATATAAGGTTCAATGTGAACAAAGGGATTATCAAGTACAACAATATGATACCACCCGTTCATGAACGTACAGGTGGTAGCATAAAAAAAATGTATTTTTTGTACATATATACAAAAAAAATATATTGTACATATGTACAAAAATATATCTATAAGGTTAAATGTGAACAAAAGGATTATCAAGTACAACAATATGATACCACCTGTTCTATGTACATAGCATACTATGTACAAAATATGTATTTTGTACATAGTTCTACAAATATCAATGTTATACCAACTGAAGGTAATTTGGTTTTATGAACTGAGGGGTTCATGTAAATTAATTGGCCACCCTAAAGAGTTTCAAAGCTGACTTTTGAAGTGTTAACCCTTCATCAGAGGGGCTTATCAGAGAGGCATCTTATACCAAGATGCAATTCTTAATACCATAAGCTGGGCCCTTAGTTTCAATCATTTCACTGTGAATCCTTTCTTTATCTGTCATTTTTTTTCTATGTGCTCAAGTGCAAATGGGTTAAAAAGTACTATTTACCTTCTTATTTGTTGCTTTGTCTCCTGGTGCTGCCTTTGCATATTCTGGATGTGAAGGAAGTTTTTCCACAAACAATCTAAAAGCAAATAGAGATACACTATAGGCAATTCCTGTCAAGGTCATTGAACATCAAACAAGGTCTTTCTGATTAATGGCAATCGAGGGCTCGACACTAACTTTTCAACTTACTAGCCAAGTGGCTATTGACATCTTAGATGTTATGACAATTTCAGTTTGTTTACTAGCTGAACTGACTTGTGGAAATCGAAAACCACTAGCCAAAACTGAATTTCTACTAGCCTGTGGCTAGTGGGCTACCGTTAGTGTCGAGCCCTGGCAATCACCACTTTTGTGAGGATACTTTAGGTAAGTAAACAACAGCCTCATTTCCCTCCTCTTGATAGGATGTCTATGTTGTAGTTTAATTTTATACTTGGTTCAAATTTTATTTTCCTTTGTTCTCGGTCATGTTAGTGTATGATAATGAGTTTGAAACAAAGGAAAATAAATTTAAACCAAGGATAAAATTGAACTACAACATCTACATGAGAAATGTGTTGTGTTCAGGACAAGAGTAGAAGTGTGTGAGAACACGTTTACCTCTTAAAATTGACTAGTATCTAATTTCTCCTTTCCATACCACCCCTGAATCAAACATTAAAGTCACAAGAATAAAGGATATGATCTCCAACTAAAGAAACCATTGATTGCTAACCAAATTCTCTTTGTCAGACCTTAGGAAATATATTGAGAATAGTATGGAGAATATGCCCACTGATGTTAGGGTTTTGAGGGTAAAGGTACCACTCAACTGTCAGGGAAACTTGAAGAATTGCTTTAGATCACCTCTAATGGACTAGCTAGCTTGCCATTTGATAAGAATGGCAAAACACGTGGTCTCTCTGAGCAACAGAAACTGGAATGACTCTGTTAGTAACTGGTCACCAGGCTTGACTTACATCACACTTAAAATCACTTTCCTTCTTCCCTTATCTTGTTCAGGGGTTCAGTTTTGTCAGTAGAAAGGTTTGTATGCATTTGCAACTTTGAGGTTGATGAGTAACTCTTCTTTCCAAACTCATGTTGTTTTAAAGGTTTCAATCATCTACTTACGTGATGAATTTTGAATACAAAATAAATGCATTTTCCAGATTTCCTTCCTCGTGATAAATCCTTGCCTATACGATGTTGGAAAATTATAGAAAGGTTAGATTAACTTTAATTGAAAGAGCTTTAACAACTGCAGTCGCAAGTGTGTAGAAATGAAAGAAGTTCATAAGTTTAATTTTAGGCTTTAATGTTTTCTTGGGGCTAAAAGCTACCAAATAAAAGTGAAAAATAGGTTCATATAACAATGCTTTAAAGCAGCTTTCATCTTAGGTAGTTAAAACAAAGCTGGCGTCAATTCTTTATTTAGCAAATGACATAATGCGAGGTAAGATTTTCTAGCCGATCAGAAAGAAGAACCGGAAGTTATCATTTTTTACGATTGTTCATACAAAAGCTAATAGCCGTTTAGAGGAAAAAATATATACAGTGGTTCTGACACACGATAAAAAAGGAGCAACCACAGAGTAAGCCAAGAGGAGACTGTTCCTAACAAAATTCCTGTAACAAACATCGATGCGATCCATTCTGTATCTCATTGACTAACAAATAATTCTTACCATTCGCTCCATTTCTACGCCAGACCTAAAGTATTTTTTGGGTGCTATGCTATTATCAACCTCAACTTGTCCAGCGTATTGGACAAGTCTCCGCACTCTTTCGGCTGGATCTGGATCGCGCTCGTCCGCCATCTTAGTATGATGTTTTTATTTCTGCCGTACTTAGTCTCGCTCGGTCACCCTTTTTACTATTTTTAGATGTCATATATGTTGCGCTAAATAAAGCTGGTATCTCGAGAGTAGGAAATAGCCTTGTGTACATTGACTTGATTGTTTGTATGTTGAAAAATTAACGAAATGTCCGACATGATCCTGCATCGTAGGATAAGAGCTAAATGTACACTTTTATTTTGTTTTGCTTTTGTTTGGTTTTTTTTTTCCTCATTTTCTTCGCTCTAAACACTTTCAAATAAATTCAGCGTTGAAATCAAAGAAAAGTTAGAAAAAATGAAATGTTTTCCCTTTTTCCTTAATTAGTGCTGCGTTCTCAATATAATATTTCAAAATGGGAAGTTGGCCGCCTTGGGCGGTTTTGAGCTCTGCAGATTGCTCTTTGTATTGTGCCACGGTGTGCCCTTAATTTGGGCACGTTATGGTGCATATTATAGGATGAAGAATCAAATTGACCTGTAAAATTGTTTCAACCCCAAATATGAAATTATGAATGGTGGAAAAAAGAGGAAAAAAAAGGCGCTGTTTTCAGTCGTTGTTTCCACGGTATTTAAAATGCTATCAGAGTTGTATATCTCTCTTTCAGAAGTACTATTTCCTTTCGAATATAGGCCAAAAATCGGATAGGATCAATGAATTGTCAATAATTGTCTTAGCTAGTGTTTCAAGACCGAATACACAAATATACTCGGATAACCAGGTTTATCATAACCCTCATTGAGCCCATGAGCTATGACTGGTAAATTTACAGCGCCGTCCGTAACTTAAAGTAAGGACCTGGAATCGATTAGTAAGGCGCATCAATGGACTAGTAACAAGGGTGCCTGAACTTATTATATCCCGAGTATTTAGGTCTTCTTACGTGACAGCAGCAACTAAAAGGAGATTGGACATGAGGAAGGGTCGGGGGGGGGGAGTATTCCATTATAAGGGCTTAATGGGGACGTGCTGCCAGCCTGGGTATGTTTTTCGAGATTTTTGTCTTAAACAGGGTATCGAATTTATCATTTTTTGTCTTAATCAGGGTATCGATTTATCAATTTTTGTCTTAAACAGGATATCTTTTCTTGGAAGATAAACACTAAAATTTTTACAAGCTCTAATTTTAACTAATATTGAATTCCGTTGATTTTGGCACTGATACCAGGCACATTAAATGTCTTAAACAGAGTATCAAAAATCGGAATTCTGTCTTAAACAGGGTAGGAAAATCAGCGATATTTGTCTTAAACAGGGTCAGGGTATGAGTGGCCGCGCCGCACCTCCCCACCCAGGAACATATCGAGTACCCCCGGGGGAAGGGTCAACTCACATATTCTGTTACGAGGAAATGGTATAGTACTATCTTTTATCTCACAGGAGCCATTCTAGGCTTTAATTTGGATATATCAACAAAGTTGAAATGGTAAATTGGCCAACGTAACGATTACAAAAGCTGACGTTTCGAGCGTTAGCCCTTCGCTCCGACGAAGGGCTAACGCTCGAAGGGCTAACCGACGAAGGGCTGACGCTCGAAACGTCAGCTTTTGTAATCGTTTCCGTGGCCAATTTACCATTTCAACTTTGTTGATATATCCAAATTATTTCGTTACCCCCACCGACGCAGCCCCAAACAGTTTCTTTAGAAACTATCAGCCTTTATTCCTTTTAGGCTTTGCCGATCCGATCACAGAGGTCCTCACACTCCTCGAATTCTACACACAGAATCACATGAAGTGATTTCAATATGGAATATGGTTCATGGTTATACCTTGCATGGGTTTTGCTTTTATCTCTCTTCTAAGATTCGATTTTAGTTGTAATCTACGCGGAATCAGACTTTCTTTCATTGATGAATCCTGATTCTCACCGGACTTTGTGGCACTCAAAGCGTAAATTTTGTGCCTAAAGAACCTTGAGAAACTTTGGCGAGGAGAAAAAGTGGAATGTGGAGATCAGCTAGAAGAAGTGAACACGATGCTCATTCACATCGACTTTTTATCCTTTATGGAGGCAGTGGCTGAGGCAGCTCCTCAGTTTATTATTCAAATTAATTTACGCTGCAAGTGTCCAAGAGGAACCGGTCAAAGCAATTCAAATTATTCCTCTCGTGATATCGTTTTTGAGTATGACTAAGTCTTTCTCAGCTGCTGATCGACGAATTCGTTCTCAGGGGAGAAATTAACATCAAGTTTAAGCATATGGTTGTGTCCCATATNTTTTTCCCGTGTTAGTGTGTGTGTGTGTGTGTTCAGCGAGATAAGTCTCTTGCCTGTGTGTGTGTGTGTGTGTAACAGAGAATTGCGATGATTGTCTGCACGGTCGGTCTGTGTTATCTACTCTACTCACGTTGTGGGTGTGTGTGTGTGTGTGTTGTGCCCGTTTCCAATTTCTTAACAGTTTATCATCTGCAAAAATAAAATTATAGCGTCCATTACGTGTGTGTGTGTGTGTGTTAAAAAAGGAAGGATATTCGCACGTGTGTGTGTGTGTGTGTTGGTGCAATTTGGTGTTAATGAGGTGTGTGTGTGTGTGTGTAAGCAAATAAAATTGCACGAGCCGTGTGTGTGTGTGTGTGTAGTCTTAAAAATTTAAAAGTGCTGTGTGTGTGTGTGTGTGTCGAGAAATCATGTTGTTATTTGTGTGTGTGTGTGTGTGTGTTAGCATAACAGAAAGTCAAGACAGTGTGTGTGTGTGTGTGTCGCGCGCTATTCGTACTTTGCGCGTGTGTGTGTGTGTGTGTCTTGTGTTACAAGGAAAATGCACGTGTGTGTGTGTGTGTGTATGCGCGTAATTTTTTCATGTATGTGTGTGTGTGTGTGTGTTTCACTGCATCAGTAAAAGAGTTGTGTGTGTGTGTGTGTGTACTCACTTTTCATGAGACTGGCAGTGTGTGTGTGTGTGTGTAGATCTGTCTGTAAACTAAAGAAGTGTGTGTGTGTGTGTGTCATTACCATTTATATTGGTATCGATTAACTAATGATACTTTTACACAATCTCTAATCTTCTCACGTGTGTGTGTGTGTGTGTAGTTGAAGAATTCGATGTTTGCCGTGTGTGTGTGTGTGTGTGCTAGAAGCTCAGTCTTGAGTCGGTGTGTGTGTGTGTGTGTAACTAACAGTGAAATCCTGAAATGTGTGTGTGTGTGTGTGTATCGAAAACCGTACACAAATAGATGTATAACAGAATCATTGATTAAGTATTCCCCAAAAAATGAGTGTGTGTGTGTGTGTGTACCGTTAATGTTGGCTGATTAATGTGTGTGTGTGTGTGTGTTAAGACGATCAAAATAAACACTAGTGTGTGTGTGTGTGTGTTCCTACGATATCTTAAGGTGCATGTGTGTGTGTGTGTGTGTTCTGACATCTAAAGTCCAATTTAGTGTGTGTGTGTGTGTGTGCCTGTTTATATGTGCCAGTTCGTTCGTACACTGCTCCTGGTTACATCTTTCAAAGTTTTTACTGTGTGTGTGTGTGTGTGTCCCGGAAGCAATGTCAAAACTGTGTGTGTGTGTGTGTGTGTAAACAATTTTTGTGTAAAGTAAAGTGTGTGTGTGTGTGTGTCATGTTTGTAACTCACTGGGAAGGTGTGTGTGTGTGTGTGTGCAGCTGATTTGTTTTGATCTGCTCCCGACAAAAGTGGACTCCCTGAGCAAAAGCCTTTTTTAAGTGTGTGTGTGTGTGTGTTTCGAGTTTTACCAAGACAGAGTGTGTGTGTGTGTGTGTGTGGAGTAATAGAACTCCGCGTGAACTGCTACATACTGAAGAGAGTTTTGCAGTTTACCTCGTAAGGTGTGTGTGTGTGTGTGTCGGTGACTGAAAAAGAGCAACAAGTGTGTGTGTGTGTGTGTTCCTTATCTGAAATATTCCTTTCGTGTGTGTGTGTGTGTGTTCAAGCTCCTAAGCTAAAACTAAGTGTGTGTGTGTGTGTGTAACTCAAATAATCCGAACCCAAAGTGTGTGTGTGTGTGTGTCAGCTACCACAGGGAAAACTAATGTGTGTGTGTGTGTGTGTGTAAAGGAGTCGAACCCAGCACTACCGAGAAACAAATAAAGGATTCGAACCTAGTACCACCGAAAAACAAATCCATTTGGGCCTAGTTATTCAAAACGCGGATAACGCTAACCAACGGATAAATCCCTATCAACCCTTTAGGCCTGGTGTGTGTGTGTGTGTGTAAACCCAGGACCTTTGGTTTGCGGTGTGTGTGTGTGTGTGTCTCAACCAAACTACTCTAACAGCGCAAGCCAAGACATCACGAGTAATCTCAATGGACTAGGCTAGTGTGTGTGTGTGTGTGTCACTTACCCATTCCTTGCACTGAGTGTGTGTGTGTGTGTGTTTGACGTTTGGTTGCTGGCTCATGTGTGTGTGTGTGTGTGTACAAAACATTATCTTCTCCCAACGTGTGTGTGTGTGTGTGTGAGCATCACCCAATTTGTTTGTTGTGTGTGTGTGTGTGTGTGAACAAAACAGTCCCACAAGCAGGTGTGTGTGTGTGTGTGTGGGGGGAAGGGAAAGTGACACAAGTGTGTGTGTGTGTGTGTGACATTGCAACCATTATTGAAATGTGTGTGTGTGTGTGTGTAAATTTTGCACAAAGCTGCTTGAGTGTGTGTGTGTGTGTGTAGAAAAGAAACGCTACGTATTATGTGTGTGTGTGTGTGTGTCACTCAACAGCCGAACCATAAATTACAATTTGTACTAACGATATCATGTTTGATGCAGTCCACAGTGTGTGTGTGTGTGTGTAGCGTTTGTCCTGAAATCGTTATGTGTGTGTGTGTGTGTGTGTCAACCCCAGTTTCCTCGCATAGTGTGTGTGTGTGTGTGTCTATGCTGTGATTTAATGATAAAGTGTGTGTGTGTGTGTGTAAGTTTACATGTACTATACGAGTGTGTGTGTGTGTGTGTGTAGCAGATCTCTTTAGTTCACGTGGTGTGTGTGTGTGTGTGTCAGAAGAAGAGAGAGATTCCAACGTGTGTGTGTGTGTGTGTGCTTCCCAAATTGAATTATTCCAGTGTGTGTGTGTGTGTGTACTCCAAGGCAACCAAGACCCTTCTAATACTTTATTATATAATAACTATAGGTAATAACAATGAGTGTGTGTGTGTGTGTGTGTAAATTAGCACGTCGGGTAATTGTGTGTGTGTGTGTGTGTTTGCACAAGCATGTAAGACTAAGGTGTGTGTGTGTGTGTGTCTTACGTTTCAGTTGGCAATACTGTGTGTGTGTGTGTGTGTGTTGAATTGATCACGAACACATGGTGTGTGTGTGTGTGTGTCCAGAAAGTACAATTAAGTTAGGGTGTGTGTGTGTGTGTGTACAGGGTTTACAACATTTGTATTGTGTGTGTGTGTGTGTGTTCTTTCCAGCATATCAAAACACTGTGTGTGTGTGTGTGTGTGCCTTGATCCTCCACGTGCGTTGGTGTGTGTGTGTGTGTGTAGCCGCAGAAGCGCTACAAACTTGTGTGTGTGTGTGTGTGTAGATGAAAAAAAACAATGCAGCTGTGTGTGTGTGTGTGTGTCCAAATTTCCTTACTAATGCGTAGTGTGTGTGTGTGTGTGTATGTAGCTACCACTAAGCTCTGCGTGTGTGTGTGTGTGTGTTAGCGTACAAATGACTGGAAACTGTGTGTGTGTGTGTGTGTCTTTTAAGTTAATGTTTATATGGGTGTGTGTGTGTGTGTGTGGAAAACCAGTTCTTCTTTCTCTGTGTGTGTGTGTGTGTGTCGTATCACAGCTTATTTTAAAAAGTGTGTGTGTGTGTGTGTACTGGGTTATTGAAGGACTGATGGTGTGTGTGTGTGTGTGTAGAACCTTGCGATGACCCCTGACGTGTGTGTGTGTGTGTGTCTACATAATGTTCGTGATTTACCGTGTGTGTGTGTGTGTGTACACCTACAGAGCGCATTGGGAGGTGTGTGTGTGTGTGTGTACTGTACTTCCCCTGAAATAAAAGTGTGTGTGTGTGTGTGTATGGCGGCATCATAGCGCCCATAGTGTGTGTGTGTGTGTGTACTCAACTATATGATCTCAGTTTGTGTGTGTGTGTGTGTGTTTTCATGCACTGATGTTACAAAGGTGTGTGTGTGTGTGTGTTTTCGGAAGACCATTATAGTACATCCGAAATCTGACTAATTGAGGCTTACTCTTATCAAAATTTGTGTGTGTGTGTGTGTGTACCAATCTTATCACACTAAGGGTGTGTGTGTGTGTGTGTGTGTATTGAAAAGAAAATGTTTCACGTGTGTGTGTGTGTGTGTTCAAAGCTTTGTTATACAAAGAAGTGTGTGTGTGTGTGTGTACAGGGGGAAAGCGAGGTACTGTGTGTGTGTGTGTGTGTGTCTACCTTGCAAATCAACGAAAGCGTGTGTGTGTGTGTGTGTTTTGCGATTAAGTTCTTGGTACCGTGTGTGTGTGTGTGTGTAGAGAAAATGGAATTTTACTGATGTGTGTGTGTGTGTGTGTATCAACACTTAGGATTACATTTGGTGTGTGTGTGTGTGTGTCTAAAAATTTCCTTGTAAATCGTTTGAAAAAACTTCTATAAGAAGTTAAAGTAGTACCCGCTGGGTGTGTGTGTGTGTGTGTATTCTCAAGTGCCGAATGTTTATGTGTGTGTGTGTGTGTGTATAGCGTAAGGTAAAGTCACATGGTGTGTGTGTGTGTGTGTTGAAGGTTTATTCCTTGGTACCTAATAATCGTGCCAGTTATCTGTATTAGGAGAATTACAAGCAGTGTGTGTGTGTGTGTGTAGATGTGTCGGTTGGGTAGACTTGTGTGTGTGTGTGTGTGTCAATGAAAGAATGAAAGTAATTTGTGTGTGTGTGTGTGTGTATTCATACCACTGGACAGGAGAGGTGTGTGTGTGTGTGTGTGGTCGTAGTCCCGTTATGCATTCGTGTGTGTGTGTGTGTGTGCTCCAATAATCTACCTGTTTTAGTGTGTGTGTGTGTGTGTCTAATTCCAGTCATGATGAAAAAGTGTGTGTGTGTGTGTGTTGCGTGTGACTTATGTTGAATAGGTGTGTGTGTGTGTGTGTTA